GGGGGGGTGGCAGTGTAATGTCTACAGTAAGTGGCAACAAGTTGTGTGCGGCTCGTTAGGGAGGTGGGAGAGTTTAGCAACAAGTTGGAAGGATGTGGTGGGGTTTGTCGTAGTATAGCTCGCCGGAAGGTAGCTGTTGGCTGTTGGAAGCAGGAAATTGAAGAAGGGCTTGTGGTTGGTCAGTGGGCAGGAGGGGGGAGATGGTTGACGACTTGGAGCAGGGAGATGGGAATTGTGATGTGAGTTGAAGAGATAAACGCCATCTCGGAGTAAGATATAAGCCAGAGCACCACCTGCTCTTTGGCTACAACCCTAGGAAGAAGCGACCTAAAGGCAGAAAGTTGAAACCAAACTAGAATAAACCTTAGACTTAACAAGCACACATATTGATAATGGGGGGGGGGTTTGGGCAATAATTCCTGCCCAATGGACAAGGGAGGGTTGTGATCCGTTGGTTTTTTTTTTTTATTTCAATTGAATTTGAAAGTAATTTGATTTAATACATAGATATAATTTTAATTTTGTAAATAATATTTTGAATTTTTTAAAAATGAGACTGGATAGATCCCACGTATTTAATAGTTTAAATAATTATTCACAATACTACAATTAATATTTCATCTCGAAAAATGAGCGTACCACCTGATAATAGACTCAACTATTTAAACTAAGAAACCTATGAAATTTATTTGGTTTGCAATAATTTTCAACGGATCATTCTCCTACCTAATATAAAAATTAGATAGAGTTTAGATTATCTGGGATACTAATTCTTTTATAGGCGCATGCCCATATAGTTAATTCATCTCAAGCAACCAAAGTCACCAAAGAAAACTCTCGATTAAGATAGTGGTTTCGTCTTCAAGCATTCAAAGTTTAATTTTCATGATTTATCATAGAAAAATCAAGTGGGAATGACTCAATGTGGAGCAATTATTTTAGAATCCAAAGAAGCGAAAGGTAGGAGATGTTATTTCTCAGTAACTGAGGAAATCTCAGTAACTTCTCAAACTATTCTACTATTCGGCTTTTATATTTTGAAAATGATGTTATTTCATGTTTTACTATTTTCATTTTTATTTTAAATCTAGGACTTACAAAGCACGACATATGATCAATGCAGATTGTCTAGGAAGATAAGAGGATATACGTCGTTCTGAATGAATAACCTCGAGATCCTAAAAAGAGTTAGGGATTTTATCGCAAGACATACAATCATGCGAAAACTCAAAGGTAATGAAGATTTAAGTCGTGTTAGACGAACCACCTCGAGGTCCTAAGGTTTTATGTTATTTAAGCCTATGAAATGTTTAGTTGAGGATCATTCTTCGCTTCATGTTTTGTCTTGATCGTCGTCTGAAGATTGTCCACCGCTCGATCGTGTTGTCGCTTTGTTCTGTGAAGAGAGAAGGAGAGAAAGAAACCATGTCTCGGGCTGCCTATCCTAGGTTCTTTGTTTTGGTGTTTTGATTTTAGAAAGTACTTTCAGGTTGATGATTATTTCTGCTACTATTATTATTGTTGAGTCAATAAGTTTTCTTATGGGGTCTTAAGAATTATTAAAGTTTTGCCAAGCTAATGTTTCAGTCACATGTTATAGGTTTTCAACCTAAGCATGTCTTACGTTCTCTATCATGGGGCTTCTATAAGAAAAAAATTATACATCTAAAGTTTTAAACTCTAAGCATGTGTTTTATGTTCACTACTTTAGGACTCGTTTTCGCATGTTAGAATTGCAGTAAATAAGAGAAGAATAATACTATGACATATAAAGAGAACATACCCAGTCAAGTACAATGAAAGAAAATGTGATAGTACGTGTCAGCCGCCTTGTATGAAATTTCAAAAAAATTGCAATTATATATTACATGTAGATATACATAAGAATTAAACAAACATAGGATATTTTGAAATATGAATATGAAATATATTAAAACATAAGCATGCATTTTTTGTGTAAAATCATGTGGTAGACATGAAAAATCAGAACTGGATATAAATATTCTGAGTTAAGGATGGACTTAGCCTCAGGTCTTTGGCCATAATAATCTCTCTTCAAAAGACTTCTTTTTTAAAAAGCAATCCCAAAGCATAAGCGTGCGTAAGACCAACTCTAGATGGAAGCTACCGACAAAACAATCGACGGAGGGCAACACTTAAGCCTAGCTAACCAGTGAACATACAAAAGACAACATTCAAAATTCTTGATTTATCATGCACATTAGCAAATTAGACTTTTATTAGAGCCATCAACAACTAAAAGAAATCAGAGCAACAAAAGTATTTGTTTTTATCATTATATATATTTTATAAATCGAATGGTACACCGATCATTTCGTTTGTCGAACTAGAGCTGCCAGCAGCCTAAGAAAGCAACAGTAATTTCACTTCAGATATTAGTGAGTAGTAGTACTAACCCTCACAAAGTCATAAGGTTTAGGATACGTGGTACAACTATATTAGCACGAACTTAGCAATGGATTCTCTTACATCACTAACACTTCCAACTTATAAGCAGTTTGATGATTCAAATAAAACCACATAGAAAAGTGAGATTGTCAATCGATGTGAAGTTTGATGTTATCCATATTTTCACATTCAAAATTTTTGGCTTATCATGTCACTCACTGCACACTGTTAGTACAGAGAAACCTGACACGATCACAGTTTATTTTAGGAAACAATTCTCTCTAACCATGGCTCTTGAAATTTGCATGCCAGAGAAGTAATCTTAGCTGTATAATCTTGAAATAATTTTATTAAATGTTTTCAGGGTAGCTCTACTATCATCCAATGTCTCTATCACGGTCAGGTTTACCTCGTAAAGTTGCACAGAGAAATGGTAGGAGAATTTGGGAACCAAATAAAGGAATATGTAATTATACACAAATAAATGTCATAATACTAAAAAAAAGGAATGGAATTGACTAGGCATATAATGTGATGTGAGATATATTTTAGAATACTTGAACCAACCCATGAGATGTGGCAATAATGACTCAGCAAAGTGGGCATGCCATGGAGGCAGTGACCCGACAGATGGGTATATCGTGGAGGTAGTGAGCCGGATGAGTGGGCATGCCGTGAAGTCTGCGACCCGACAAATAAGTGTGTCGTGGAGGCAGTTACTTGACAGGATGATGATCCTCACTGGGGAGAATCATACAAGTGGGACGAGTGTATTAATGGACACTGAAAATGCAACTCAAGCATGTGATAATGCAAGACGTCATGCAAGACACATAATACAAGAAGTATTGTGTTTGATCGTCTACGATATAGGACGCAACTTTGGAGAATTATATCTTGCCCCAATAACAATTAAACACATGCAAATGATATACACATACAGGGTATGGTGTGTCGGTCAATTTTTTGTTTGAAAATATAATTTTGTAAATTTAATTTAATATAAAAATGTATATATAATAATAATATTATTAATAATTATTATTATTATTGAAAATTATGTGTTTTAATTTTGGAAAATGAGACCGAATGAATTTCATTCGTCTAATAATTCGCATAATCGTACCCGATACCAC